GGCCATAATTTTGATAATCAAGTAAACATTTGCCAAAGAAAGCATGGCACGCCAAAATTTAAAGGTGGCAAAACTAGGCATCCTGGATCAATATTACCAAAGCATTTTCCTTGCTCAACCAGTGAGAACAAGTAAAATAAACTTAAACATGGTTAATAATTCATAAAGTCCAAATATCAATACCTCAATTTTGTCCACCTTCTTATCTGAACTTTTGGCAACAGCTGACTCCTTGCCATTTAATGGAGTACGATGAAGTCTCTCCTTTGGTGGTTCTGTTCGCGCCTTTTTCTTCGCGGTACCTTTTGAATTCTCGACATCTGGACGTTTCTCCCTATCCTTACCAAATAGCACCATTAACCTATCATAATGGTCAATCGTCTTCATCATCCATTTCTTTGCTTCCGGTTTTCTCTACAAAACAAAGCAGATGATTTATTGTGGGTCAGGGGCTTTCAATGTCTTTCTCCTCTTGAACAGATAAGTCAACGTCTATTCTTGACTGACTGATAGCACACACGAACCTCGATCAACTCCCTCCAAACATTTGGATCCGCATTGAATTTTCGGCTCTCTGAGCACCACCTAAACCGAGTATCTTCACCAAGGAGGTTCCTACACTCATGGAACGATTCCTTGATATACTTTAGGCGATTTTTTATATTGTTCCGGTCAATTGCCACCCCGAACTTATCACCGACACCATTGATGATGCTATCATATGCCACCGATGAGAATTTGGACTCACCCCTGTTCCCAAGGTCTTGCTGGTAAAGCAGCGAATCAATAAGATATGCGTTCATTTCTCCCGACCAGAAAACCGCATCCCGGCCTGAAGCATGGCCGGGTTTATTGGGGGACATGGGGATTCCGTTGAACCTAAAATTCTTTAATAAACTTCACAGGAGCCTTTGAGCTCCGGCTGTGCTGATCCTACCCGAGGAAGAAAATCCTAACCAGATCACAGATAAATCGACTGATTAGTAGAGAGTGAGTGGGCACACAATTCCACAACTAATCGGATGGAGAATTCGAAACCAACTCGTCCCCGGAGCAATCCGCCCAGCTAAACCTACGATTACTCACCAGTTAAAGAGGAAATCACCCTATCGCCTGATTAACCAACATTCCACTCCAGAACCGAGGGAGAATCCGGGACTGACTGAGGAGCGGCCGGTGTAGGACCAGCCGGAGACAAGGTGGTGCTCGGCGTCGGCGGAGTTGGGGGCGACCGGGCGAGACTCGGGAGCGTCAGTTGTTGTTGTGGGAATTCCATGTGCCATAACAAAAATCGCAATGCTACGGCCTATGGCCTAAAAAATTAAGCGGTCTTCAGCGTCACTGCTCTAACTTTTTTTACCCTCCATATCGCTGCCGTTAGTTTGGACTCTAATGCCATCAAACTGCAGGTGTGAAAAGTTGAAAATACCCTTATATCTAAATATGTCATTAATTTTTTTTAGCATCTTAACGACTTCAAATGAAAAAACTCAACTAGAAAGTTGTAGATCTCATCGAGATCTATAATTTTCATATAAAATTTATCTTTATTTAATTCCACAAAAAATATGATTTGATATGATTAATATATCTTAGAAAAATCATATCTTTTTTTGCGTAATTAAATGAAAATAATTTTTATATGAAAATTATAGATCTCGACGAGATCTACAACTTTCTACTTTTGAGTTTTTTTATTTGAAGTCGTTAAGATGCTCAAAAAATTAATGACATATTTAGACATAAGGGTGTTTTCGACTTTTCATACCTGCAGTTTGACGGCGTTAGAGCCTAAACTGACGGCAGTGGCATGGAGGGCACAAAAAAGTTGGAGCAGTGGCGCTGAAGACCGCTGAACTTTTTCAGAGACACACAGGACATGACGATTTTTTTTAATAACACACAAAGAATTCCCCCATTGTTGTTTGGTAGGGGCGTAGGGCCTACTGCCCTAGGTTCTATATATGAAAAAGGGACGGCGATGCGCCGATGACTTATTCACCGTGTGTCTGGCTGTCCGCATAGGCGAGAAAAGGCCGTCGGCGAAGCCTCTCCGGCTCTCAGTCTGTCCTTTTTCTTTTTTTTTTCTTCCTCGCGCACGGCCCAATAGGCCAATAGGTCGCCTTTTTCTTCCATGCAAAAAAATCTGATTTATCTCATTCAAACTACCCCTAATCTAAATTTCCTCCTTCATCAACGATAAAACCAGGTCCCCTAAAAAAATCAACGATAAAACCAGATGAAAAACGTACAAATAACCAGGTACCTCGTTTTATTTAGAAGTGGTTTTTTCTTTAACATGGTGTAAATATGTAAGTGGTTTTGCCATGTGTTGATAAGGAAGTGATGTCCGATCATTTTTTCTTCTTCTATTTGTTGGTTGGTTGCAATGTCACATCTTTGTCAACGTCCCTACATCGCAAAATCATTAACATATTAACGCCACTTCTAAATAAGGTAGGGGTTTATGCGGTTTCAATAGTTCAAGGAAACTCATAGTGGGGATATAGTTGATGGGGGGTAAATATAACTTTTTTCTCCTTCTTTCTCTAATTTCTCTGCATCTTTACGGTTGCACTTTTTCTCTATGCTGGTACAGCCGCTCTTCGCTGCAAAGCAAGGATAAGAACGATTGATAGTTGATCGAAAAAATAGTTTTATTAATTTGACGATTTAGTGGCAATTACAATAAGCGCATTCTATGTAAGATGCTGATAAAAAAATGATTACAAAATATATTGCTTTTTATGGATATGAGCCTATAGACACAAAAATTCAGTTTCAGTTTCATCACTACGGCAAAGTTTACTTTTTTTTTTCTTATTGTGTGGTTCTCTCTATTCGTGCTGGTACGATTGAATTTTGTTTGTGGAACAATTGACAACACGTCCACAGCAAAATCATCGTTCCACAGTTGATGACATAGCTTGGAGCACATCAATTTCTCTTACGAAACGTTCGATGATATTACCTGGAGAAAAACCCGCTTTTGAATTGGGAGCTTCATCAGATGAGCTTGTCGGCATTGGAAATGACACCGGCAACCTGGGAGCAGTGTAGTGACGGTTGCTACTAACTTGTCCTCACTATATGAGCCTAATGGAATGTATATATTCTTCTTCACGTGTTTATGGGCTCTTACTATAAAGGTTCAAGCTGCTTAAATGATATGAAGTACATAGCATGTCTTGAGTGTGATGTTTGTTAAGAAGAATAGTTTTAAAAAATGCATTTTTAATTTGTCTTCTAAAAGGAATTGCCTGAAAAAATGCATAAAACATACTCCTCCCCATTAAAACAGTGAGGTTTAGTTTCTCCAACTCAATCGGTGGGATTTCTCTTTCATCATTTGAATTGACGTAATTTACCATTTCTGCACATCCCATAAAAGTCATAAATTTTCATATGAACTCAGATAAAAATAAAACTATATAAAAAACATACACTATATTTATCATACACATTAGTGTGACTCATGTTACTCCGATGGTGTAAGTTTAAGTCATCTGTATTTTGTATATTGTGATTGGTGGATGCTCTGGTTCAACCAAAGCAACATATATAGTTGATACAAGGACTTAAGTAATTAACTCTATTAAAATGACAACCTTTTTGTTGTGGTCGCGATGTAAATAGATGACACTAAGGGTTGTTTGGCATAGCTTTAGCTCCAACATTCATGCTAGATCTACAATTTATAGGCTGAAATAAAGTGGTTTAAATATTTATATATTTAATCTATTAACAAGACGAGTTACATGAACTTGACATGCTTCCCGCTCAAGATCTATGATTTCCTGGAACTACAAATACCCATAAAAAAATCTACAAATGGAGCTCCACCAAATATGGTTTTAAGTCCATATATTCTGGTGTGCACATAACATTGAATATATGTGGATGAGGGTAGATTTATCTGCGAGCAACTTTTAAATAGCATGGTGAGTATTTGCGGACTCGTGGACAATCCTCTTGCGTCTTATCAAATATGAACGGCCAAATGAGTAGTAGAACAAGTCATAAAAAAATAGAGCTAACGACCTTAAGATGATGGGGACATTTAAGGTCCTATTTGAATCCATTAGCTGCTAATAGTTAACTAGTTAATAGCTCATAGCTCATAGCTAACATTAGCTAGCTAACTGTTAGCTACTATTAACTAATTTGGTTGAACTAGGAAGATATTTGTTAGTTGGGTATTAGATAACAATTAGCTAAATTATTAGCTGAACATGTTTAAATTTAAAGGAGCTAATTATTACTAACCCATGTAAAAAAAATCTCTTCGTTCTAAATTATAAGCCGTTTTGACATTTTGACATCAATTTTGCTATGTATCTAGATATAACATATATATATATATATATCAAAATTTAAATAAAAAAATAAAACAACTTATAATTTGAAGCGAAGGGAGTTGTTATTAGCTGCATGGACCCAAATAGAACGTGAGTTTTTTATTGACCCGTTGAGGTTGAAGGGTGCTTGTTTCCTTTTGTATTATTTTTGAAACGAAATTCTTTGCATTATGTACCACTACGTTTATATTTTATATATTTTATATTTTATCGAGGCAATAATCGAGACAAATATAACGTACAGAACGAATAAAAAGCGAGAAAAGACTAAAGATCCACAAATTTGTCATGAAAACGCAGCAGTTTGTACATTGGACACGTCGTGGCAAGTTACTCAGACCAATGGCGTGCCGCCACGTTCACAGGTAGCCTGCGTGGACAGGCCACGGGAGCACCACCGTGGCACCGTACCACCTTCCGCGCATCAAGCACCACCATCGTACAATCAACGGCTTGGATAAACCAACGTGGCAACAAAAAAAAAATAGAACAACAAAAAAGTTCTCCTCGTAATTAAGAAGCTCAGAGAACCCAAAAGAGCAGCTCGCCGGCTCCGCCGAATGGCAACTTCCCCGAACCCCACGACGACTCACCGAGCCGGCGCCCAGTGACCCTTCCAGAAGCTTCCAGAGGGTCACCGCCATGGCCGCGCCCTTCTTTTCCACTCCCTTCCAGCCCTACGTCTACCAGGTCCGCGCCCCTGCCCTTCCCTGGACGATCTGATCCTTTTTTTCTTGAGTGATGATGGCCTCATCTCCATGTGGGATGTTAGGGTTGGATTCGAGCTCGCGGGGCTGGATCCATCCGATCCGCTGCTAATGGGCTCCGGTTGTGTTTGTCACGTCTGATTCGATTTGAACTGTGTGGGATGGTTTCAGAGCCAGCAAGGATCTGTGACGGCGTTTCAGATATCCGGTGGAGATGTGCAGGTCCTGCAGGTAGTTTCTGGTGCTCAAATCTGTTCTGCACACTTGTAGATCCTTTCTTCACATGAATTGCACGTAATCACCTGCAATTGTTGCGGGCAAATTATTTTTATTAGGTGATGCTGAAGTCTCAGGAGAAGCTGACTGCAAAACCAGGTAACTGGATTCAGTCCTTATGCTCTGTAGCTTGCCTGCTCAACTAAGTATCTTTGTTTGTGACCTTCAAGCTGAACTAAACCTAGTAAATAGGGTGCTAACTAGTCATTATGTGGCAGGAATTGACAAATTGTATGTTTTTTATCTCTTCGTACAAAAGTATGCAGCTCTAGTGTCTACTTTTCCTTTTGGTTGTAACCCTGCCTGTAACTCACAACGGATTAACCTTCTGGTAGGTAGTTACTGATAATGATAACCTTCTGGTCGGTAGTTACTGAGAATTATCTGTTATATACTTACATATGTATTGTCTAACAAAAAATTGTGTCATACAGGCATATAGCCCTAGAAATTGTTAGCATGTGAATAGCGATTATTTCATCAGTCAATCATTGTTGTTTTCTTTAGGTACAATGTGCTACATGTCTGGGAACATGCAGATGGACAACAATTACTTGCCTGAAAATGATGGAGGCGTGTGGCAGTGGATTTTTGGGAAAAGTGTAAGCAGCACTGTTTTCTTTAATTCTGGATCTGATGATGGATATGTTGGGATTGCTGCACCATTTCCTGGGAGGATACTGCCGGTTAGTATTTTGCTTCTCTTCTATGTTTTAACTTTTCTCTTAGTATCACCTTTTCTTTCTTGTGCAATGTAGCTATGAGCTGCTACCCCTACCTCGCTCCCCTGCCTAACAATGCTATAATTTTCTAATGTGAAATAAATCACTATATTGAAGGGCGGGCCTGGTGCAAGCGGTAGAGTCTTACCGCCTGTGACCGGAAGGTCCCGGGTTCGAGTCGCGGTCTCCTCGCATTGCACAGGCGAGGGTAAGGCTTGCCACTAACACCCTTCCCTAGACCCCGCACGGAGCGGGAGCTCTCTGCACTGGGTACGCCCCTTTAAATAAATCACTATATTGTCCTCTTATGCTAACAAATTCAAGACTGTATTTGTTAGCTACTTAGCTGTTGATTTTGTTTATTCCTCTACAATTTTGAAATTGATTATATGTCAGGTGAGAATTTGTTAATCCTCTTGTTGAACTTTAACCATCCACTTGAATACATTTTTCATTAGATTAGACACCAACCTTTGCTAACCTAACTTTATGATCATATACATATGATTAAGAAGTGCTAAGAATACATCGCAATTGGCCATTTAGCTACCTCTTACCAGATTTATGTCAAGCATGCCTGCAGCTATGGAACTATGCAGCACGGATACAGATACGTGTATCAGTATCGGATGGATACGGATACGCGGATACGCCATTTTTCAAAAAATCCCGATACGCGAATACGTTTTATTTTTTTACAAAAATAGATAACAAGATACTTTAAAATTATTAGCAGCTGATCAGAGATTACTTACTTACTGTAGTAGTATAATATAATAATAACAAACGTAGATCTCTGATGTCCACCACTTATCCCCACTGACACCTTAAAAAAATTAGAGTCACTCTCCACCTCTCATTCCCCCAGTCGTTCTTGTTCCCACCCTTCCAATTTCCACACGGGGAAGACAAAAAAACAAGAAACAAACTGGGAGGCGTCGTCTGGGCTGTGTCGTTGGCGCTTGCGAGTGTAGGCACGCACTGGCGCATGGGGCGGTGGTGCTCATGCCGCCGTGCGCCCGGACGTGAAGCGTCCGTGCGGGATTGCAGGGTACGGGCGCGCAACGCGCGTCTAGGCCGGCGGCTGGCTTTGATGTGTGTCCAAGCGGAGGCGGAGCCTCGTCGCCTGTGGCCAGTGGCCGGCGAGCGGCGATGCAGCGTCACCGAGCGCGGAACGGGGATGCGGCACGAGGCACGGGCGTGCGACTGCGAGCGTCGGGGACAGAGGATAAGGCACCGGCCTTCTTGTTGGGGGCTGGGCGTATCGGCAAGGAAGATACGTATCAGCTCACGTATCCAATATTCGCGAAAATAGGAATGTGCTCGTGTATCCGTGTCGGATACGTATCCGATACGCGATACGAGGTCCCAGCGACGTATCCGTGTAACGTAGCTATGGAATGTGCTCAGTATTAGAGGATTGGCATTATAATTGTGCATTGATATAGTACTAGAATTGTATCTTCGTCTGATTGTAGTTGCTTGCGTCTGTTACAGGTAGATCTAGCAAACTTTGGTGGAGAACTTCTTTGCCAGGTTAGTTACTGTCTCATTGTTTGAAAATCAAGAGAACTTTGCTTGAAAAATAAGAGAACTTCATATGCTTAATTATTATCACAGGCAGATGCTTTTCTATGTTCGGACAATGATGTGTCAGTCTCTAGTACAGTTGAGCCAAGACCACGGAATATTGAGATTGGTGCAGAGGTTGGTTAACTTTGTTGAGTTATATTATTAGCTTGGATATTATTGCTTTGGATATGATGTGATCTGTACCTTTTTTGTTCTTGTGTCAATGGTTTCTTGCTAAGTTGCATTCTGGAATTTGAAGCTCTACATTTTTTTCTCTCTAGATGATCCTTAAACAAAAGCTTAGGGGCCAGGGGATGGCTTTTCTTGTTGGCGGTGGATCAGGTACAGACTGTTTTGCACTTGTCACATAGTGAGATAGATATCAGTATATGAGAATGCAATGCCATCTACACTGTAGCAATGCGAATTGGACGGATGCAAAGTATTGGGCTTAAAAGATGAGCTTCATTGCTGTAAATGGTTTAGGCATTTAGGATACACTGAAAGATTATATGATTTGCAGTGCAACATTAGGTTGGCGCATTATGCATTAACAGATACAGATGTTGTTAACAAGGCAAAGACTTACAGTGATATACAATTTAGTTTATGTGTACATCATTAGGCAACTACAATAATTTAAATATAGCAGACCGGCCACTTGGCACCTCAGTTTGTTTTCCATGAACAAGACGTGATCTCATATAATTCTTTTCACTTTAGCTGGTTATTCTTGACTGGTAACATGTGGATGGGATGTGACTGGGAATATTTTGCTATTCAATTTTCAGTCATGCAGAAAATCCTTTCTCCCCGAGAGGTTATTACCGTTGATGCTGCTTGTATTGTGGCTATGACAACCACCATTAACTTCCAGTTGAAGAACCCTAACCAGCTTAGAAGAGCAGTCTTTGGGGTCAGTATCATTCCTTCATGTTTCCTTGTTAGTTGTTCATGCTCACAATCCCTAAGAAACATCGTTTGTGCAGGGTGATAACCAGCTAACAGCATCTCTCACTGGACCAGGTGTTGTTTTCATTCAGAGTCTGCCATTCCATCGACTCTCACAGCGGATCGCCAGGTATGATAAAGCCATGTATCTGTTGCATTGTTCTCACTTGCCGCTGAGCGTACATGACTCAAAGTTTATTCTTATTTTATCAAGCAGTAGATCAGTGGCGGGCCCAAGTTTGAGGGACAACCCAAAGTTCTTCATCCAGATTGTCATGTTCTTCTTCCTGGCCTATGTCATGATTGTATCATCCATAATTCTGACAGATGTTTAGGCGATTCAGCGAGCTTTTGATGTATTCCTAGACAAGTTATCGAAGAGTTAAAGCTACCTCCCCAATGTTAATGTAGATGTAAGAGAAGGAATTTCACAAACTGTTGTTAGAAACCTTAGCTGAAAGTTCTTCAATTTTTTGTAACAGTTTGGAGGGAGACCGGGGTTCTTCTTGGTTAGCGTGTAAAGAGTAAGACAGCAAAATCAAGTTGCACAGCATATGGTGAATATACAGTAACTTATCCTCCTCTAAACTGGTGCTCTGCGTTTTTAATAATTGAATCGGTGATTTAGTTGGAGCAGTTGTGTGTTCTTCATCAGTCATGTACTCTAAAATGGAGGCGACATGTGGCCCTGTTCAATAGGATTTACTGCTGCTGTGGTTGACTTGTAGGACTAATTTGTTGGGAGAAAAAAATATTGTTTCATGACTGAAAAAGTAAGGCTGGTTTTGGCTGATAAGTTCAAATAAACAGGGTCATGCTTGCCTGTTGCTTGAGTTTTACTACAAAGAGAAGCATGTATAGCCTGTTCGTTTCGACTGAAACGATCGTGGATTATTAATGCTGGCTGGTCTGGTATAAGAGAAAAATACTGTTTTGACTTATAATCCACGATCGTTTACGACCAAGTGAACATGCCGGTAGTCAGGTGGTTCGGTTCGTTTTTTTTTATTCAAGCCATTACAGTTCAACCTTGGAGACATAACATTACAATTCACCTATTCTTCTACTTGATCTATGCCATTTTCTACGTCTTCCCAGGCCCATTGTTAGACCGTATACATATACGCATCTGTATGGACCAAAACACCCCTGCGGCTTCTCTCTCACATCACTCGCTGACGTGTGGGGTCCGCACCCACACCCACACGTCAGCTTCTCCTTCAACGTCCAGACGTCTTCCTCCTTCAATCTCCTCTCCCTCCGCTGTCCAACGAGGGGGAGTGCCTGAGGGGCGGCGACTGCTGCAGGCCTGCGTGCCCGCGTGGGGCTGTTGCTGCATGCTCGTGCGCCCGCGTGGCGGCGGCGGCGGCTCACCTGCGCGCGGCCGTGGCGGCGGCGGCTGCACGCTGGCGCGCCCGCGTGCCGGCGGTGGCTCGCCTGTGCAAGGCCGTGGTGGCGGTGGCTCGCCTGCGCAAGGCCGTGGCGGCGGCGGCTGCTCACCAGCTCGTGCGCCTGCGAGGCCGCGGCGGTGGCGGCGGCTCGTCTGCGCGCGGCCATGGCGACGGTACGGGACGCTGGCCTCGCGAGCGGCTACAGCGTGCGGGCATGGCGTCGGTGTGGGAGGCCGGGCTCGTGAGCTTCTTCAGCAGGCGCCCGGGCTAGCGAGCAGGAGCTCTGCTCCGGCGGCCATGGCGGCAACGTCGGCGTGAACTCAAAATTCGTGGCTTACCCTTGATGGTTTGCGATGAGATCACGTCCAGGGGCTAGCTAACAACCGGGCGCAGCCATGTTTGCGGGGAATTGGAAAAGGGTGACGCAGTTAGGACGAATTTGGTCGCGGGGTGAAAGTCAGCAACGATGACGGCGACGACATTTTATAGTCGCGCGGCGTGGAGCAGACAACGGCTTGGCCGAGCTTCGGCAAGCTTCTAGGCACGGCTTGGGCGCCCACTTGCGTGTGGCATTGAAGGCGCGAGACCTCGTGACGAGGCAAAGCACAGAGGTGCTCGGCGTTGATGGCGGACAGGTCCAACAGCGTGCTGTCGTGGTCGTTTCGAGCGGCCGCGGGCCATGCCTGCTGGCGTCGAGGAGAGGCCTGGATGGAGCTCCCGTGCGGGAGGTCGGGCTCGCGACCGCCTCCTGCGGTGTCCGCCTGCCCCTCCCATCTCGTCGGACGCCGTCCTTTCCAGGATGGCTAGAGGTTAAAGGACAAGCTGACGTGTGGGCCCCACACGTCAGCGAGTGATGTGAGAGAGAAGCAGCAGGGTGTTTTGGTCACACATAAGACACGTATATGTATACGGCCAGGGAGCAGACAACCGGAAGACGTAGAAAATAGCATATATCAGGTCGAACGAGAATTGTAATAGCAAATTTCATAATAAGTGAATTATAATTGTATATCTCCAAAGTTAAAGAACTGTAATGGCTTGAATAAAAAAAAAACTTATTGGGTTATGATCTTGTCTGTTCACACTCGACGAAGCACGAGGCACCTTCGTTATAGTCAGGTGATTAGGTTAATCTGATCTGTTTATCCTCGATCCAGCGACCCTCTTTCTGGGACGGACCTGTAATTTCGTTTTCTTTCGTTCTCCTTTTGGCCCCGATTCAGACTGACGAGTTAAATTGCAACCGGAATACGATTGGACATCTGTTTGATTTGCCTTTACAATAGATCCGAATTGCGGGCCTCCACGTGGAAGAAATCAGATCCGCCGAGTAGGCGAAGAAGGATGCCGAAGCGGGCCAGCGGCGGTCCGATGATCGCGGCAGTCGTGCAGCAAAGCGACGGCACCTGCCATCTGCCATCTTCGGTTTGGTTGGCCTCCAGGCTCCACTCTCCAGGCAACCTTGCCTAGCAGGAGCAGCAACAGTGCAACCCCAGGCGTCTGATTTCGACTGCCTGGGGGGTCTTCTGCGCCCGCATGCGTAGCTGCTGCTTTGGCCCTCGGTCTGAGGCGGACCCTGCCGAGTGCCGACCCCTCTGGGCCACGTTGGTTTGTCCGAAACAATATTCCGACTAATTTACTGTGAAAGAAAAACACTGAAAAAACAAGCTGAAAAAGACGGATTATAAGAGAAGCAGGGCCCTACATCCCCATCGGCGGCAGGCTCTTTGCTCACGCCGCCGGTTCCTTCGAGCTGCTCTACCCTCGGACGCTGCCGCCCGACTACGGCGACGAGGCCATCTTCGGCTGATGAAAAGCCATGATTAAAAGTATTGTTCGCTTGTTCGCTGATTTGTTGTGAGAAAAAAAACACTGTTCCGTTGAAATAGTACGGTTCACGACACAAGCCAACGGGGCCTTCGTCGTAGCAGCGAGAACACCACCTTCACATAATCACCTTGGACACGGCGGAGCGCGTGTTGAAGCACGGCGGTGGCTGGAAGCGGCACGGCGAGTAGTCCGCCACCATTTTCTTTCCCATTGTCTTATGTTACTGCCTTCTTCTTCCTCCGGTCCTTGCTGCCCTAAGTCAAGAACCCATTCGAGCGCGGTTTAGATTGACTCCAACAACGTGATCCAAATTGAATACCCATTTCACCGTTTAGGTAACGCACAGCAACGAAAGCTACGCACCCATTCCTTGACCCTCCAACGGATGACCGAGCAGGAAGCCCCAAATCCCGCCGCCCTCTCCTCTCTCCTGCTCTGCTCTTCTTTTTTCCCCCTCTGCCTTCTCTTCCCCGTCCTGCTCAGCTCCTCCCGAGGACCGTCGCCGCCCAACTGCCCCGGCCAGTTCGCGCTGGAACACCGGCCAGCCGCCGGTGACCAGGAGCCTCCGCTCTGCCTCCCTGCCCTCTTCCCCTCTCTTCTCTTTCTCTCCCTTCCTCTCTTTTCTCTCTGTCTTGCTCGACTCGTGGTGGCGCCTCTCGGCGCGGCGGCGCACCGGCGTGGTGGCGCAGAGGCGCTGGTGGGCCCGGGCGCGGGCGCCCCTCGGCATGGCGTCGCACCGGAGCAGGGCGCGCGCCGGCGGGGAGGTGGGCCGCAGCGAGGGCGCGGGCGTGGCGCAGGGCGAGGGCTGCCCCTGCTGCGGTGGCGCACCTGCTGCCCCGCCCCTGTGCCGGGCCCCGCACTTGCTCCCTCTCTCTCTCTCTCGTTTTGCGTCGTCGAGAACGAAGACGCTTTTTTGCCTTGCGAGTCGGATGCTACGTAAAATGGCTGCCGTGTTTGCCTTCTCCGTTGAAGCGTGATTTCGGAACCCAAAACACTGTGCTGTAAGCATTTTGCGTTTGGGTCTGCGTTTACCTACGCTATTGGACACAGTCTTCCTGGTGAGCCCCAGCGGTGGATCTCCGTCCGCCCATAGCCTCGTGCCCTCGTCCAGGAAACTTGAGCGGCAGAGGGCCGAGCTCAGGACTCCAGTACGGAGATGCAACAGCACGAGCTTGCCAGCTGTGGACCTGCAGTTGCCGCTGCTCATCATCCTCGGCATGAGCTGCACAAGCGGGCTGAGCTACATGCTGCAAGATGTGGCTGCAAGCGAGCAGCAGCAGCAGATGAGGACGAGGGTCGAGAGGTACATGTAGCGGTTCTCGGAGGAGCGAGATAGAGTGCGTCGGGAAAAATTACAGGAGAAAGTAGGAATTCCCCGATGAAATAAGGGATCCGACCTGTTTTCGACCCCCTTTTTGCCGATTTTTTTTCTCGTTCCTGTTTCACGTAGGCGCTGAAACGGAGACACAGTTTACAGAACTTGATTCGCAACTTTTTTTTTGCTATATACACTGCGGACACAGTGTCATTCGCGTTTTTTTACAAGAAAGTTCTGCAAGCGGACGTGGTTTTGATTACTCGTAGTAGCAAGTCATAACAACTGCACGAGCAGTTGCGCTAAGCACGCTCTTCTGCACGCAGGCTTCTCATGACATGCTTTCACTGTTCCTGTGCTCCACATGGGACAAGGCCACACGACCTATGGCCTTGGGCGCTCCTGGTTGAGCCGGGCCGCCGTAGTCACCGCGTCCGCCACGCCTCCCGGCGTGGTCGTCATGTCCAGCTTTGTTCCGTATCTCCGCGGACACCACCCTCTCGGCGTCCTCCCGCGTCGCCCCCTTGTCCGCCGGCAGCCTCTCCCTCGCGTTCTGCACGTACATACGGTCACGAAACTCACGGTCACCACTGACAGTTCAAAACACTTCGCCTACAGGCTACAGCTGCAAACCGAGAAAATGACAAAAGCAGAGTAGCGAGCGCACGCACCGAGAGGACGTTCCGGAGCTTGACCTTGTCCTCGTCGCGCAAGGCGCGGGCGTTTTGGTCAGCCGCTGACTGCGCCGCCGCGGCCACACCTCCAGGGATGGTGGCGTGGGACCCGGTGTCGCACGTCTCCGCGACCTGGATGGCCGCCGCGTCGCTCTGGTCGACCGGCCTGTCTCCAGCCATGGCGACCACGGCCTCCAGCGCGCGGCCGATCGTGGCGGCGTCCTTGTCCAGCGCGCCCGGTGGGTCCGTCATCGCCACGGGCGCTGGGGTCACCATCTTCGCCACCACCTGCCCGCCGATGGACTCGGTGACAACGCGGCGGCCCCAGAGCTCGGCCTCGACGACGGTGGCGCCGGCGTCGGCGACGGGGCCCGTGATCTGGGCCGTGCCCACGTGGCCCGCGCGCGCTGACCGCGTGCTAGAGCGGCGGGTAGGGAGGCGCGAAGCGGGGACACGCAAGGGAACCGGCGGGGCTACGTGGGGGCGTGGAGCTGAATCCGTAGGCGCCGTCGAGTCTGTCCACCTAACAACCGTATGTTTTAACATCCGGTTACACCTAAATTTTTTCCACAAGGTTTCGTCTTCCTCCTATTTCTAGTTACTGTTCATTTTTCTTCTCGGCACAAATCACAGATCATAAGTAACAAATCATAGATTATAAGTAACATTTTTTTTTCTATGAAAAGACAGAGACAAAAATTGAGGGTGGTGCCGGAGTTGGGGAAGAAGAAGCTCGTCGGAGTTGGTTTCCAATGCCGGACGCAGCGGCGGCGCGGGCCAGGGACAGGCGGGTGCGGGCGCGGGCACTGGTGCGGATGCGGGCGAGGGCGCTGGCACGGCGGTGCAGGCGCTGCAGCGGCGCGTGCGCCAGCGGTTCCGCTAAAAAAAAAGAATTCATGTGTGCCCGGGAGCTAAAACACACGGGTATTATATAGCAATTCTGTTTGTTTTGGTTTTCGGTGGCCGCTTTTCCACGACTTGCCCGTGGTTCCCTTGCTCCGACAGGTGCCATCCACGCGGAACCTTACGGAACGCTCGCGGTGGAGGCATGCGCTCGAGGTGTGACCGCGGACCCTCGTCTCGTATCGTCGTGTCGCGGGCAGTACACTGCATAAGCGCGGCGCGGTGCGGCGTTGCCGTTTTGGCCGGCCATTGGATCGACCTCATCATGTTTACCTCTAGGCGTACGCGCTAGCTACAGACTCAGCGTGTTGCGTTTGTGTCCGGGCAGTTGTGAATTGTGAACGTACTGTAGTTTTTACTCTATTATCGAGCAGAGTGAATAAGTCGTTATTATTTAGCAAAGCTGTGGTACAATCAGTGCGACAAATTTGCTGTGCAAGTTCTATGCATGGCAGCGAGAACCGAGAACATTGATTTTCCACGCCACGAGCATATAGCGCAACGATTAATTCAGTAACACTTCCATTCAAGTAGGGACGAAGCCAGAAAAAAATTTAGGAGAGGCTGAACAAAATATTAGAGGTTTTTTTTATCTTTTCTTAACCTTAGCTCATCCTACCTAATACATATATACATAAAATTTTAAGGGAGGAGCTTACCACGTGCCCGGAATCAGAAGGGGGGGGGGCTGAGCCCCCAGCCCCACCGCCGGCTCCGTCCCTGCATTCAAGCATCGTGGAAGTCCATGGACAGAGTTTGGACTATGATCAAGATTAATCCTGCGTAGCTGCTTAATCCGGAAAGGCCGTGGTGCCCTATTCCAGAGGCGCGCTCGTGTTCAGATTGTGCTTCGCCGCCATGTCGAGCGCCGCGCTCACCCCACGGGGGTTCGTCTCCGCTCGGGGGTAGTTCGCCGCCTCCGCCTCTGCCACCGCCGCAGCGACCTCGCTAGTCACCGCCTTGCCCGTCGGCAGCTTCATTGTCGCCTCCCACTGAAAAGACAGACACGACGTCGGCACGCCACAACAAAATCAAAATCAACCGGCCGACACGCCTGGATCAGCCCGGCCGTGCGAAGGGCATGGTCAGTTGGTCACCAGTTTACCGTCAGCACGTCGGTCATGGTGACTTTGTCCTCGTCGCGCGAGGCGCGGGCGTTGGCCGCGGCCGCGGCCTGCGCGCGCTCGGCGACCCCGCCCGGGATCGCCCAGCGCTCCGCATCGCCGCCGAGGGCGCTCGCCTCCGCGACGCGTATCGCCTTGGCGTCGGACCGCTCCACGGGCTTGTCCCCGATGGCCCTGGCCGACCCTTCCAGCGCCTCTCCGATCTTGACCCTGGTGTCGTACGTCTCGTCGATCACGCCGTCGCCGCTACCGCCGTGCGCCAGCTGCTCGGTTACCGACTCCGTGGCGTCCCTCGGGGCGACGCGCTCGGTGTGGAACACCCGGCCGGGGTTCTTTCGGCTCAGGCTGCTCGGGGAGTTCCGAGCACTCTATCCTGCTGGGTCGTGCTTCCATCGCTGAAGTTGAAGGCCCGGGATGATTTCGCTGTGTGTGTCGTCGTCGGCGGTGGGCTGTGCCACCGCGTTTATATCGTCGTATATATAGGACGTAGCAGTTCAGCGGTGGAGAAGGAATGACACGTGGAGACGTGGAGTGCAACATGTCACATTACGCGTGACAGTAGTTTAGGGCGGCTGCAACAATAAAAAGTGTACTCTGTGCAATAGTATCACGTAGGATATACTACTCCGCAACAAAATGGCATTGGAGGTATAAATTTTTTGAACTAACGGCAATAAAGGGAAATCAAACTTTTCAGTGAAATGTAGGGAACGAACAAAATTGTAATGACATAGAGAGAACTGGCTCATATTTGTTTGTGTCTATTCGTGATTGTCTTTGTTGCTCAAGCAGATGCAGAAGGTACGTAGAATTTCGCTCGTTTGTTCTCGTGGACCGAAACTCTTCAGACTTTTGGCCCATAGCAGAAAGTTCAAAAAAGGCCAGTTATTGTGTCGAAGGCGGTGCTCATGGTTGTCGGCCCGCAGGCCAGAGTCCGGATCCGCGTCGGCGCCGAGGCTGAGCCACGCCCCACGCCACGCGCCCAGCCGACCGACGACATACGTCGCCGCGTCGCAGAAGACCGTGAGTCGGAGACTCGGGAGTCGTTCCGAATATATATAGCTTCGCACCCTGCACCAACCCGCTCCCAAGTCCCAATCCACAGCCAACGCCCGACGCGCCTCGTCTATCTAGAGTTTTTTTTTTTCTTTTTTCTGGAAGGCTATATATCAACCGGTTGATTTAGGAGCTTTGTATCAACCGAATTTTGTGTCCGTCGGATCTAATAGTCGTGCTGCCTCTGCCGCCCGATCTGCGTCGTCCCTCGTCCGCCCGAAGCCGCTGCAAGCCCTGCGTTTGCTGAGATTGCGACTGCTCGAACATCCTCGTTGCCGCTGCCGCCTGCTGATATTGCGACTGCGCGGGAGGAGCAAGGGCAAGACAAGTCTCCACGGGAGCACCGACAGTCAGCGTCAGCGTCTCTCCTGGCACCGGCCGCTGATACTCCGCAAACAACGCGTGGTCACGCCGCTGCTCCAACATCCTCTGCCGCCTCCTGCGCTTGCTAAGATTGCCACGGCCCCGGAGGCGCAAGGGAAAGCAAAGTCGCCACGGGCGCACCGACCGTCGGCGTCGGCTTCTCTCCGGCGCCGGGTATAGCGCCCCGGTCGTCCACGGAGCTGAGGCACTTGGGTCCAGGTTGAGGTCCAAGCCAAGGCCAGGCACGGGGGGGGGGCTGAGCCCCAGCCCCACCGCCGGCTCCGTCCCTGCATTCAAGCATCGTGGAAGTCCATGGACAGAGTTTGGACTATGATCAAGATTAATCCTGCGTAGCTGCTTAATCCGGTAAGGCCGTGGTGCCCTATTCCAGAGGCGCGCTCGTGTTCAGATTGTGCTTCGCCGCCATGTCGAGCGCCGCGCTCACCCACGGGGTTCGTCTCCGCTCGGGGTAGTTCGCCGCCTCCGCCTCTGCCACCGCCGCAGCGACCTCGCTAGTCACCGCCTTGCCCGTCGGCAGCTTCATTGTCGCCTCCCACTGAAAAGACAGACACGACGTCGGCACGCCACAACAAAATCAAAATCAACCGGCCGACACGCCTGGATCAGCCCGGCCGTGCGAAGGGCATGGTCAGTTGGTCACCAGTTTACCGTCAGCACGTCGGTCATGGTGACTTTGTCCTCGTCGCGCGAGGCGCGGGCGTTGGCCGCGGCCGCGGCCTGCGCGCGCTCGGCGACCCCGCCGGGATCGCCCAGCGCTCCGCATCGCCGCCGAGGGCGCTCGCCTCCGCGACGCGTATCGCCTTGGCGTCGGACCGCTCCACGGGCTTGTCCCCGATGGCCCTGGCCGACCCTTCCAGCGCCTCTCCGATCTTGACCCTGGTGTCGTACGTCTCGTCGATCACGCCGTCGCCGCTACCGCCGTGCGCCAGCTGCTCGGTTACCGACTCCGTGGCGTCCCTCGGGGCGACGCGCTCGGTGTGGAACACCCGGCCGGGGTTCTTTCGGCTCAGGCTGCTCGGGGAGTTCCGAGCACTCTATCCTGCTGGGTCGTGCTTCCATCGCTGAAGTTGAAGGCCCGGGATGATTTCGCTGTGTGTGTCGTCGTCGGCGGTGGGCTGTGCCACCGCGTTTATATCGTCGTATATATAGGACGTAGCAGTTCAGCGGTGGAGAAGGAATGACACGTGGAGACGTGGAGTGCAACATGTCACATTACGCGTGACAGTAGTTTAGGGCGGCTGCAACAATAAAAAGTGTACTCTGTGCAATAGTATCACGTAGGATATACTACTCCGCAACAAAATGGCATTGGAGGTATAAATTTTTTGAACTAACGGCAATAAAGGGAAATCAAACTTTTCAGTGAAATGTAGGGAACGAACAAAATTGTAATGACATAGAGAGAACTGGCTCATATTTGTTTGTGTCTATTCGTGATTGTCTTTGTTGCTCAAGCAGATGCAGAAGGTACGTAGAATTTCGCTCGTTTGTTCTCGTGGACCGAAACTCTTCAGACTTTTGGCCCATAGCAGAAAGTTCAAAAAAGGCCAGTTATTGTGTCGAAGGCGGTGCTCATGGTTGTCGGCCCGCAGGCCAGAGTCCGGATCCGCGTCGGCGCCGAGGCTGAGCCACGCCCCACGCCACGCGCCCAGCCGACCGACGACATACGTCGCCGCGTCGCAGAAGACCGTGAGTCGGAGACTCGGGAGTCGTTCCGAATATATATAGCTTCGCACCCTGCACCAACCCGCTCCCAAGTCCCAATCCACAGCCAACGCCCGACGCGCCTCGTCTATCTAGAGTTTTTTTTTTCTTTTTTCTGGAAGGCTATATATCAACCGGTTGATTTAGGAGCTTTGTATCAACCGAATTTTGTGTCCGTCGGATCTAATAGTCGTGCTGCCTCTGCCGCCCGATCTGCGTCGTCCCTCGTCCGCCCGAAGCCGCTGCAAGCCTCCTGCGTTTGCTGAGATTGCGACTGCTCGAACATCCTCGTTGCCGCTGCCGCCTGCTGATATTGCGACTGCGCGGGAGGAGCAAGGGCAAGACAAGTCTCCACGGGAGCACCGACAGTCAGCGTCAGCGTCTCTCCTGGCACCGGCCGCTGATACTCCGCAAACAACGCGTGGTCACGCCGCTGCTCCAACATCCTCTGCCGCCTCCTGCGCTTGCTAAGATTGCCACGGCCCCGGAGGCGCAAGGGAAAGCAAAGTCGCCACGGGCGCACCGACCGTCGGCGTCGGCTTCTCTCCCGGCGCCGGGTATAGCGCCCCGGTCGTCCACGGAGCTGAGGCACTTGGGTCCAGGTTGAGGTCCAAGCCAAGGCCAGGCACCGGGAAGGCAAGGGCCCTATTTGTGAGGAATTTGTATTTTTCTAAAATTTGTGAAGAATTTGTATATATTTCTCTGGTATCTTAAATCCATAGAAATAATTTATAATTTTTTTAAAAAAATTGGCATATATTTATCTGAGGTCTGTAATTCGTAGAAGTAGAAGTTGTGTTATCCCCAGATTACATCACTATGTCCAATAAATTATATTGAAGAAATTATTATAAATATAATAATAAGCAGTGTAAATATAATTATAAGACAGTGTAAGTGATGAGCAAAAATTTAATCGTTGGGAGGAGCTAAAACAACTCAATGTTAAATGTTACGTAGACAGATTTTTTTTTTTCTTGCCGGCGAGAGATGTTCGGTGAGGAAGAGGGAGGCGTGATGATGCGCGAGAAGAGGATCTCGGCTGCCACTGCCGTCGAGGCGACACCCTGCACAGGGATCAGCGAACCGGACGAGATAGGGGAGCCGAAGAAGAAGACGAAGGTGGTGAGAAGGAAGCTGACGAAGGAGGAGATCGACCGCATGCTGTCAATCCCCGAGCACAGAAAGCCCTTCCCAATGGTGGCGGACTGGTTTCTCGCCAGGATCCACCATCCGCGCGAGGTACATGGGGTGGGCGGACGTGTACTACAAGTCGCAGGAGCAGATCAAGCGGGAGCAGCAGTACGTCCGGGAGGAGCTTAAGACCCTTGGATACGTCGAGCGCGAGGCCAAGGTCACCGACGACGAGGACGATGCCGGCGACAACTGATCATCATCTATCTAAGCTGGGAGCCATACGTGGACCCGGCCCTTATCTATTGGAGTAGATAGTTTATTTGGCCATTGAAGTGAAGTTTACAAGCTTTATCAGTCTGAGAGCATCTCCAAGAGCCATCCTTGTGGGTATATTTAGATTTTTACAGAAAAATTGAACTCCAACAGATATCCTATTTGGTTTTGTATAATAGCAAGTATGCTATCCCTGAAATCTCGTTGGGCATAGATAGCAAGTGAACCTGACTCGCCATCTTCCGAAATAGGTGGCCACGGTGGATGCCCCGCACGCGCGATCCTTCCCGCGCGCCAGAAACTAGTTTCCCGCCCGCGCATTGAACTCTCCCATCGTGGGGATCCAGGCCCAACCCGCTCCATTCGACGATTCCCAACTCCCAAGCTCGGCCATCGCCTCCTCCCCTTCGCCGGCCCTGCCGCCGCCGCACCACGGAAGCTGCTGCTCGCTGGCCCTCTAAATCGCCCTTTCCTTATTCGCCGTGATGTCGCAGCGTCCTCATGGACAGGCTCCGCCGTCTGAGATGGGAGATCCCAACTACGCTGCCCTTTTATTCCAACAATAGGCGGATGGGAGTACCAGGCGGATTGGAGCAGCATCAGGCGGATGGGAGCAGCAGTTTGGATGGGAGCAGCAGGCGGATGGGAGATCCCAACTGCAGCAGGACTCCCCGGTGCTGCCGTGGTTGGAGAATACGGCGCAAGGAGGCCAGCGACGACGAGTCCTTCCACCCAACAGTGCTGCTGCTACTACATCGAATCCATTCCTCGACGTGTGCTCCGGCGAGTCTAATTTTCAGTGGGCCTCTCTCACCGTTGTTCAGTACATCCATTATTGTTTCCCTTATTTTCTATTGCTATTGTGGAAACCGTAGTGCCAATTTTCCATCTGCATATTGTCCTGTTCAATTGTATTCAGTGAAATCAGTGGGCACACATGACGCTTGAAGTTTTTGTTGGGTGAGAATGTGAGATGATATCAAAGTGGTAGTAGTGACTGGTGGCTGATGATGGAGGATGATAATTACGCGCCTCTGTTAGTGTCTTATAGTTGGCAGGGAGTTCATCAGCAGCTTCATATGATTGGTGATATGCAGTTGTACTGGACTCTTGATGTACTGCATAATAGTGCTTTGTCGCCTAAATATTCCTTTGTGGCCTACCTTTGAAAATTACAGTGAGCTGCTTCACAATGTTCAGTCATGGGCACTCGGTTTTCTTCACTTCATTGTAATAGATCTTGACAAATGGATGTAGAAAAGGCACTATTTGGAAGACACTATCTGAATGCCTGAAACGCTAACTGAATGCAAACTGAAAATACCTAGCCTACTGTACATATCCGGCAACAGGCTAAATTATTCTGTAGCTTTGGTTTGCATCCCAAGAAATTTATGTTCATCTTATTGCTAGGTTCATGTTGAAGATATATTATCTTTTTTTGTCAAATATCAGTTTTATTCAAGCATTTCTTGCAAACTGCAAATTAGGACAATCCATTATGGTAATCTAACAGATTGTCTGAAACTAAGTTGCTAGAGTTTCAGAATGTCTAAAACTCTATCTGCTAATTAAAAGTACTCATTGAATGTTTCAGTAATCTGGCAGTATCATCCTCATTGGGCAACCTCAAGTATTCATGTCCAAATACCTGAACAACAGCTCTAACAAACTTTCTAAGACTTTCTAGAGCAGTACTCTCCCCAATACGGATATAGTCATTCATAGCATCAGCTGCTACTCCATAAGCTAATATCCGGAATGCCACCACCACCTTCTGCAAACAAGATAGTCCTAGGGTTCCGGCTGCATTCCTCTTCTGCACGAAATAGTCATCATACTTCTCAGTGGCATTCATTATGCGGACAAACACGTGACACCGCATTCGAAACCTATGACATCAGATTAAAAAAATTATTCAGACCTCAATGCATACACTAAACATAAGTCAATAAAATTTGAGAGAATTAACCTGCGCCTGAAATAACTCGGTCCGTACGTAGGATTATCTAAGAAATAATCTTCATACAATCTGCAGTGTCATGACTGCCTATCACGATTCACAACACGATGTCCCTCTACGGATGGCATGATGGATTGACAATGTCTGATAGTACTATATGCTCTGCTGCAGTATATACCTCATCGTCATCATCCGACGACGACGACGAAGAATCCATCAGCTCGTTAACTACATCTTCAAATTCCATTATGAACCTTTGATTAGGAGGGTCCTAGAAATCTGCTTGAACACCTAACTAGGATTAAAAAAAGATGTGTGTCGATCTACTGATTTGATAACGTGACCTAAAGAAAAATCATATCAAGGATACACGATGACCTACCTAAACACGTACAGGGTAGCAGCAGCCTGTCGCCACCAGGATCAGCGTCTTGTGCTGGTGACGCACGTGCGATGTCGCCGCCAGGAGCCCAGAACGCGACGATCTTCTATTGACGCGAAGGAGCACAGCCGCCGCCAGGACGTTGCTGCAGACGACTCCAAAGGAATAGATCGTAGAAAATTTCAATCGGCAGGTGGAATAGGTCCA